GCCCCCCCCCCTCCCCCCCTCTAAAATCAATTCTCTCCTGGAGAACGTCTTCGTGAGCCTCTCATGATTTCAGGATAGTTGAAACCCTCTTGAACATTTAGAAAGAGTGAATATGAAATTCTAATCACGAAAGGTGTTCCCCGAGGGGATACGTTTTGTGAAGCACGTCAATTCTCTCCTGGGGAGCGTCTTTGTGAGCCTCTTATGGTTTCAGGATAGTTCAAATCCTATGATGTTCCGATTCAATGCTCACCGATGATCTGAGCCATGGGGCAAGTTTGTTTTCCTAAGAATCTTTTTGAACATTTCGAGAGCACATGTTTGAACATTTAAAGTGCATATGAACATATATTTACGAAAGGTCGCCTCCGAGGGGATAAATCACCATGTCGAACATTGCATTTTTGTTCCTGCCTCTCGCGTTCTCTTCTCTTCCCGCTGTCCTACCTTTCGTGTCTCCCTCCTCTCAAGTGGTGGTTTTGGGGACAAAGGAGCAGGAAGCAGATGTGTAAAGAGCCAATGCTTTGTGTTGCTTTACACACGCTGGATCATGCTGGGCACACTTCAGTTCATAACATCAGAACATCTGACTCATTCTTCCTCACCTTCCATTTCGTTTGTTCTTTTTTGACTCCGTCACTTCCTTCCGGTCTTTCCCCAGGTCACTCAGTTCCCCCCATGCCCGGTGGAGCTGGTGGACGCGGCGACCGCGCCCGCAGAGCGCACCAGCAGCGAACATCGCCGCAGCGCCAGCGGCTCGGCCGTGGGCTGCTTTGACCTGCCGGTGCCGCTGCGCCCGGAGGCCGCGCTCCGTCGGACGCGTGGACGTCCGAACTCGTCGGACGTACGTACGGCCGAGAGAAGGCGCCGGCCCGGGTGGGGTGAGGAGGACCAACACCGTGGTTTCGCGCGCCGAAGTGTGGAAGAGTTTGGGGGGAGCGGATGGTTTGGGATTCATGGACAGTGTAAATGGATGTGTTCCGTTCTTTGTCAAGTTTGGAGTTTCATCAGTTTTATTCTGTTTTACTTGTTATTGTATTCTTTTTGGAGTGTTTGAGTTGATAGTGAGGTTCTAAGAAGCTCCCAGGGTATATGGCTGCACTGCATGGCTTGCGCATGGCCGATCATGGCCGTCCAGATAGAGTCCAATGCAACGGCATGCAAGGGAAACGGGATTTGTAGAACATGTGGGAAAATGACGCGAATCAGAATTATGAATAATTTCGATTCATTTGAGCCCCGCGGTCAGGTGGAGTGACATGTCACATTGAAGTCATGACTTTTTAAGTTATTTATATATACAATATTTGTATGAATATGACGATCCTTCAATCTCAGATATAATTATATGGAGTTTGTTGGTGGCACCTGAGAGAGTATAAACCCCCCCCCGTGTAAGAAATTAGTATTCGCCGTTTTCCTGAAAGCATGCTCAATCCCCTGTAAAACGATAAGGAAGCAACAAAACAAACACGATAACCCCCATAACTCTTGTGCAAAACCCTTGACATGCGAGACGTGGTATATGCTTGGACAGAGGTGGAAGGGCTTGGTCCGCTGTAGCCTTGTGCTGCAGCATTGTCGTGCCACATGGTTTTCCAACTTGCACCAGGCATGAAAACGATAACAAAACGATAACAAAAACGATAACACAGCGAGCCTAAAACACCTTTCCGTAGGCAGGCCACCACATGGGTGTAGTTGGAATGAAGTGTGCCTAATGTCTTCATATCTGCAAGGTTCCACACACCACAAGCATGTAGTGCACACACTACATCACACTACCTAAATTATACGGTTACTACATTTGTTGCAGTTATGCAAAGTGCTGTAAAACGATAAGGAAGAAACAAAAAAGATAACGTCAAAAGTGGTATAGGGAAAGGTAGGGGGAGTTTTACACAACCTCACCTGTGTTGCTGACACTTCAAGTGGTTGCTAAGTCCAAGAAGTACCCAGGTTCCTGAACATATAGTGGGTTTGGTTGTATCAAGAGCACACTGTTCCTCAGAAAGTCATGAAGGCTGAACATGACATGAACTTGTGTTGTTCAACGTCTTCGTGGTCTTTTCCGAGAACCGGCTGGTAGCTTTTGGGCTGGTTAGCTACTTCACCCCCCATACCATGTCTCCCTGGTGGCAGGACCAAGCAAGTTCGTCAACCCCTGAGGGCGCCAAAGGGCTGTGGTTGAGCTGGGCGCCCGTGGGCCTCCAGGCGAGGGTGCAACCTGGGAGAGTCGGCCCCCTGGCGGTGAGGAAGTGATGAACATGATGAAAAAAACCCTCCATAGTAACTTAGTAGATATATTACATATTATATGTATATATATATATATCTATCTATTAATAATGTTCATCCTCCAGGTCGCGGGATTTTATATCATCAGGAGCGATGATGACTGGTCGTTTGAACCTGGGAGCTTGCGAACCGTTGACAAATGATGGAACCTGGGCATCCAGGGTGTCCTCCAAACTAGTGTGCAAACTGGTTGCTTCAAAGTAAGCTTCGAACCATCGGTGCAGTCGATGGTTTTCCTCTCGCCGATGGCGAGCGCCATTCAAGTGGGTGCTAGACTCGTTGTCTCAAAGAAGGTGCAACTTCAAATGCTGAAAGGGAACGCCCCGGCCCCACAGAGATTGAACCTTCGAACAAGCGCTTGGAATCCAAATCGTAGATGGCCTTTTGCCATTGGGTTGTTTGGTTAATAGTAATAGGTACGCGGTACGAAATCGACCCCTATACAGTATATTGTTCGCAAAAGGGCATTGCTGATCCACAAGGTTCCACAGCACAGCACTTGGTCGCGCTGCCTGTCCAGGAGCTGGCACCACGATTGGTGGCCCAAGCGCGGCTCGTGGGGGGTGAAGACCTGGTCTTCGCAGCGATGGGTGTGAACCGCGCCAACTTTCAGCTGGAGGCGCGGTGTCCCAGGGCGATTGTGTAATTGCGTTGTTCCTGGCTCCAGAGGAGGGTGTCAAATCAACAGAAACACTCATGAGTTGGACAGCTGCTCACCAAACTTATTGTAATTGGCACCTGGGTTCCATCACTAAACACCTCAGAAAGTTCCCCCGTAGCTCCCACTATGGCTTCCTGGCGCAGGCGGGCCGCTACGAGCTGCTTCTGAGCTGTGAGCTGGGGCACTGCCAAGCGGAGGTGCTTCGCTGTCCACACCCACGCTGTCAGCAACGCTTCTGGGCGAACGACCTCCAGGCGAGACAGACGGCAGGGCGTTTTTTTCCCCAATACGGCTTCACATGTTTGATCTATACCCATCATATATTATAGTAACTCATTATCCCACTATATCATATCATATCATATTTTGCCACTTTTCCAGAGTGGATTATGCATTTGTTCTACTTTCGTGAGGGCCTAGGGTGGTGGAGCTACAGCACTCACAACAAGGCTTCTTCCGGGTGTCTTATGTGAAACTGCGATTTCTTTGCTCGGGCAGGCGCACCTGAGCCGCTGTGCTTGGCAGCCGCGCATGTGCTCGCGCGCGGCGGATGGCTGCGATTGGCAGGGCACCAGTGACGAATTGGAGGAACATGAGCTGGCGACCTGTCGCATAGGGTGCTGAAGGTTGGTGTGCGAGGGCTGCCTGCAACGGTCGTTGGTGTGCAGGGCAAGTAAAGGATTTTGACACCTCCTGGACCACTCTGGTGTGGATTTGGATGGGTTTGGCTATCATCTAAGGATACGGGGCGCTCATCGCAAAGCCATACTCATACGATCTCGCGGGGCCTTGTTATGTTCCAGAAGTGAGTGGGGCTGGTATGTGCTTGTCAATGCGGTGAAAGCCCCCCTCACAAAAAAGGAGCCATAAACCAGCCCCATGCAATCAATGGTCCCAGCAAGGGCTGTTGACAGGTTGGAAGTGTCCTGGGCCCCACCAGCGGCAAAGCTTTCGCCATTATATAGTTGGCCCTACCTACCTACCTACCTACCTACTTATGGCAGCTGGGACAAATATATCGTATTGTTTAATAAGCCCAGTGAAAAGCCGACCTTCCATGAGATGCCATCAGGACCCAGGTGAACTCGCCACGTGGGTCTCCACCGCATTCCTTCTGTGTTCCGCGCATACCTTCTCGGCCCGCTTCCGCTGTGTTCCACATGTCCCTCTCAGGAGTGTCTGGCCTTGGAGCTCCACTGCCGGCATCAACACTTTGGGTGTCGATGGGCATCTTGGGCTGAAGACGAGGTCGCAAACTTGAAAGACTGCTGTTCGAAGAGGTTTCGCACGATTTACATTGAATTCCATTGTTTCCATGGTTTTCGACGAGTATGGATGGACGGACGGACGGACGGACGGACGGAGGGATGGATGGATGGATGGACGGATGGATGGATGCAGCAGCGTGGAAGACCATGCAACACGCGTGTCATTCCAGGTGTTCGCTGGTTTCGTCTGGACGTTCTGTCCAGGTGGGCCCCGCGACGGCGGAGTCCCAGCATCTCAAGGCGCCGGGCCTGGAGATGCGGAGAGGACCTGCCCCTGGCAGTGTTACTAGTAGCGAATGGTAGCGATGCCCTTTGTTCCTAGTAGCGTCCTTGTTCCTGGCAGGTGGTCCCATTTTAACGTCCGGTCTGTTTCGAAGCACTGTCCGTTCACCATGTGAGGCCAGTGGTGGTCCCTCTCCACCTCCCACTTGGGACCAGGTCTTTTCCGCGACCCGTTTCGCGCGACGAAGTGCGCTCCCAGAGTTGACCAGGTCTGTGAGGTTCACCAACTCACGACGCTCATCGAAGAGCTGGACGCCTTGCTCAATGAGGCGATATGACTCCTGAAGAACGTGGGACGTGACGGCCCCCGCAGTGGAAGACTCCGAAAGGTTGGGGCGGTTTGAGGATGTTTGAGGTTCCAAATCTGTGGCTTGGCCTGAAACAGTCTCAGGGTTGGAGACTTCTTTTGTCTTGGGCCTATGGTCTCGGGCTGGAATGCATCACTCAAAGTTCGTCATGCGACGGTTTGTTGTTCTTGTTTGTCGTCGGCAAGTAAAGCAGAAAAGACGCGTGGCGTGGCAATTTCTTGGGGTGCATGCACAGCGGTCCTTCGTGGAGGTTTGTGCAGATGTTCTTTGGACATCTTTGGAGCGCTTCTAGGATGCCTGGACTCGCTCTTGCTGCCATCCCTTTTGGTGCTGTGTTTGAAGTCTGAAGCACCTGAGGGATGATCTATAAGCATAGAGGATCATAGAGGCATATATGCCATATGATGGCATAGACTATTCACGTGTGGGTCACAAGTCGCACGTGCCTGGATGAAGTGTTCCCCAACGAAAAAAACCATATGTTCGATCCCATCGGGTCTTTTGGCTCGGGGGGTTCTCAATTGTCGGGTTGGTGGGTGAAAGCATTCAACCTCATATCCGGGCGGACGTTTCTGTATGACGACCTTAGATCCGGCTCGAGAGTTGACAAGGCAGGATCGTTGATCCACCGAAATCGCATCAGACTGCTGCATCCGGCAACCGAAATCAAATCCCTCCGAGCAGATCTCTTCAAAAGTCACTAAGAACAAGAGTATAGAAGTCTTCATGGATGCTTCGAGTTTGCCTGGCTAGGCCTGGCTGCTTCCAAGTAGGGCCCCCTAACCATCCAAGTGTCGAGCAGACCATAGCAGACCTCTTCAATTTTCACGTGATTTGCATGGCATAGCTTGAACACAATTTGCTATATAATATGTTGTTTGCATTAGAATCCCAAGGGTTGTAAGTCTCATTCATCCACTTGGCGGAGGTGTTGGGAGACACAAACACATAACGTTATAATAGATGCCATCTAGCAGGTTTACTGTAACGACAACTTCAGCATATGATCATATGACTATTGAAGGCATCTTATCAAGCATAGCATAAGTTTTGCAGCACAATTTGTCTTGCAACGTTTGAGCAAATTCCTGGAATCAATTGAACAAGCATGTTTGAGCATTTCGGACTCTGTCCCCCCGAAGCTACGGAAAATAAGGACCTTCCGAGTCGGGTAGAAAGTTAAGATTCTAGAAATCCTTCTGCACTCCTGTAGAACATTGTAGAAAAACCTGTGTAAAATATCATGTAAACATGTGTAAACTAACTAGAAAAGCGCCAGCCGCCAGCCATTGATCCTTTCTGCCCTAATCTATCCGACATACCACCCCGTGGCTGACTGGTCGTTGCCGGCCGGCCAGGCGTGTCCTGACTTCCGCCACCCTGAGATGCTGAAGCATCTCGCGCGCCTGGCGGAGTACCGACGCTTCGTACGACCGGGCACTTGGAAGGAGCGGCTTGGCGAGGAGCGGGGTGTTCGGACGGCAGCGCGGGGGAGGACGAACCGGGACGAGCCGTTTGGTTCGGAGTCCATCCCGTGGCTCTTTTTACGAGGCGGTATTGATGTATAGCTGCATGCATAGCTGTATACCTCCTTTTCAATGCCCCCAACCTGGTGCAAGGTCCACCGGTTTCTCGACCGGACTGTCACTTGGGAGGGATGGTGCGAATTGAGGTGGAAGAGCGCTGGCAGCTGCTGCAACTGCATGAAGGTCATGGACCGGAAGCCTGCATTCTTTCTTTCAGCTGTTGACAGTATTTTTCAGGAGTTGGGTGTCAGTCGGGCGCAACTCTGACTTTAGATGAGACCTTTTTACTAAGTCTTCGGAGTTTCCTGCTGAGAACCCCTTGCCAGGAACCTGCTGCCCCCCCCCCCCCCCCCCCCACACACTCGAATGACACCCTCGAATCGAATGACACCCAGCCAGTGCATGGTCATTTTCTGAAGCTGAGTGCCTGACACGGAAGTTCATTGTTTGGAGACTTATCAGAGGCAAACGGAAGGGTAGTGCACAGAAAGGGTTTTGCAAAAACCTATTCTACTAACATCGTGGAAGGCGTGGGACATTCGTAGAACCCAAGGCTATTCGTGGACAGTTCGTGGAATGGTGGGCCAGTAGGAGAACTGACTGCAACGAAATTCCAGAAACCTTCGCAGAACTTCGTGGAAGGTATTTTTGATGCACTAACTTCGTATAAGCGATTTTTGCTGACCCCCTTTCTCCACACACCCTCCATTTAGCCTTCATCTTAGTTTGGTTATTTTTGGTTGCAGTATATTTATATATATATATATCCCACCAACAGTATGGCGAAATGATAGCAGTTGTTGGCCAACTGTAGTTGGCTTGAGAGCATCAACTTGCTTTATCCATGGAATCTATGCATCAGCACCGATCGCCAATCCAAGGAAGGAGAAAGGCTTGCAGTGCGAGGCTGCCAACTCACACCTTTGCTGCTTGGCTTTTCTTTTGATGCTGATGGCGGGGAACGCAGGACGGAATGCATCACAGCACATCATGGAACACATCCCCTGAACAATACCTCTGAGATGACGCAGAAGCAATGCCGCAATGCCACTTGGACTTTTCACAGTTATTGAGCTTGGACAAGTGTGACCTCAGGCGCTCATTTTGGGTTGTGCATGTTGATCCAGGATGTACTCCACAGCCTGGGATGCTGGGTGGTTGTTGATGGTTCCTTAGCAGGGGCCGCCCAATCCGAGAACGGCAGACCGTGAATGTATAACTTTAGGATGGACTCCTCCCTTCCCGTGACTCGCACCATGGGCCTGAAAGTCCATGACTCCATGACCGTCCATGTGTCAGTTTTTCTGGGGACATGCGACTCGACTGCGGATGTGATCTTGAACGGGTAGCTAGCTCGAGGCGGGCCAGTTCGCAGCCAGCACAGAGGCTTCCCCTTTTTCTCACTTCGTCGCCAAACAGCTCAGCATTGAGCCCAGACCCAGATCCGGGTTCCTTGTTCATATGTATGTGACGCTGTGTCCAGGTTGGACTTGCATGCCCAACCACATCGACTGGAAAAGCCTGAGGGAAGCAAGACCAGGCTCCAAGTGAGGTTCTAGGCACACATACCCTTTGTCAGTGTGCATCATGAGGGGTGTTTGGGTGGCAGTTCTCTTTAGTTCCTTTTTGTTGTTACGGTTGATTATTCGGGTTGGCCGTTGCGGTTGCGGTTGCGGAGCCCATCGACTGCAAGTTGATGGGACGACGCAGAGAGCGACGCTCATAGCGGGCCTTGTTTTTCTCCGACGGAGGGTATGTATGGAGCTCCCAAGGCCTAGGGCTTTGGCTAACCCATTGACCTTGGCTCAATCAAAGATGGCCCTCAGTTCTAGAAGGACAGCAAGTTTCAGGGAATTCCAGGCCAAGATGTGGGCAGCGCAGCGATCATGGTTCTGAAATCAGTAGTCTTAGCCGTGTCTTCACCTCATGTTTGGATCTTCGCAGTTTCACAGTGAAGTTGCTAGTTACTATATCGTAGCTTCTTGTGATGCCCTTTGTTACTAGCATTTTCCATAACTTGAAAGGATCGGACTGTTGACTGGCAGACTCTTGGAACAGGACAGCAGACTTGATAGAGCTGCGATAGAGCGAAGGGCTCCCGTGGATGCTGAAATTCCCGTGGATTCTGCTGAAGCTAATTGCTAGATGCCCTCCACGCTCCCATTCCTCCCAAACGGAGCAATGGCAGCAACGGAGCAATGGCGAGTTTCACACGGCTCTGGAAATAGGTAGGGCCTGGTGACGTGTGTTTTTTTGAGGCAAAAACAGGGAGTGATGGACGGATACCTCCTGAGACTTCACCGAGCTGAGCTGAATTGTCTATATGTTATATATATAATGATGACTCATGAGAATCATGGGGATTGTCACTAAACGACCGCGTAGCACCGCGGCTCGAAGCCCCTCTTCGACGGGTGGGGGGATCCAGCGGTGCCGCGATGGAGGATCTGTCCCTCTGCGGCGCGTTGGCAGGGTGGACAGATCCTGACTTGGAAGTCCTGGCGGAGTTGGGGTGGACCACAACCAAGCTAGCCACCCTGAGAGGATGCAACCTGAAGATCCTCGACACGGTCTTGACCTCCGCCAGGAAGAGAAAGGAGAGCTTCTGCCAGGAGGCAGGTGGCTTGCGGGACTTGATCTCGCAATGTGACAAGAGGTCTGCCAACATCCACAGAGCTGATGCTGGCAAAGGGTCGCAAGATCTTCTAGAGGCTCATGTGGAGCACCAGCGTGAGAAGAGGCGCAAGGTCTTGCATGGACTGAGCGAGTTGGAGGTGACGGAGCGCATCAAGCTGGTGGGCACTGCAAAGGTCTTCAAATGGCCAACTCGCCTGGGGAAGAAGCTCCACTTGGCCGGCTCGGACTTGGCGCTCCGGGAGATGGCCGAGAAGTCTGAGAGGGATCGGTGGCTTGCAGAGTTGAGAGAGCTGATGAAGAAGGCACAGCTACCGGTTGTCCTCAGGTCCACCGAGGAGTCCCTCATGATGAGGATCGCCAAAGGAAGGCGACCGAACACGTTGAGGAAGCATGTCAAGACGTGGCAAAAGGTGGGCCAATGGCTTGAGATGACCTTTGGAAAGCCCTGGCCATCCACACCCAGCGAGTTTGCAGAGTACATCGAGGCTATCGTGCAAGAGCCCTGTGCCAAGTCAGCGCCTGAGGCGGCTTACAAGACTTTGATGTTCATGGAGTTCGCCGGTGAGGTGGAGGAGTCAGCTCTCCTGCACAGGTCATCGGCGGTTCGCAATGCCATTGAGGAGGCGCAGATGAGGTTGGCATCTTCAGAGATCAGGCCTTCGCGGAAGGCACTGCTGCTGCCGCTGGCGGTGGTCATGGCAATGGAGGACATGGTGGTCGCAGATGACAGGATGCCGTTTTCGAGGGCATATGCATGGTACCGCCTGGTGAAGATCTGGGCGGGTTTGCGCTTTGATGATACCAAGGGCACTCCAAACAGAAGCATGGAGCTTCGGGACAGTCACTTGGTGGGAATCATCCACAAGTCCAAGACTTCAGGTCCGGGAAGCGAATTCTTCAGCTTCCCTTCTACGTGAGCAAGGAGGCCTGGGTATCCCGCCATAACTGGCTGGAGGTTGGTTGGAAGATTTGGAACCACATGGGAATGGAGGCGGGCATGTTGACCCGCGATTTTATGTTGCCATGGCCGACAGCATGCAGGACGGGATTTGCAAGGCGCATGGCAGACTATTCAACAGCATCTGCTATGTCTCAAGCCTTGTTCGGGGAGCTGTGGGTCATGGACAAAGGACAGAGGGCCTCGTTGTTGTTTGCAGGCGTGGGCACATTGTGGACGGAACACTCCGAGCGTGCGACGCTGAGATCATGGGCATCGGCGGCCAGAATTCCGCCTGATGTCAGGAGGCAGATGGGAAGGTGGCGTCCAGCCACCGATGAGGGCTACGAACGGACCACTCGTGCCAACATACTTCGTAGCCAGAAGATCATCGCCACGTTCCTGCGAGACAATAGAGGCCGAGGAGATCCTATGGATGAGGCGGCGGTGTTGGAGACAGTCAGCATCCGCATGGGGCTCTTGGGGTACCCGGATGAAGCGATGGAAGTGCAAGCCGCCCTCTTGGAGAGCTTCCACCCGGAGGAGGTGGCAGTCGAGGCAGCCTGGAGACCGAAGTGGACGGCATCGGGGCCAGTGGTCTTGATCGAGCCTGCCGAGGGCGAGGACATCAAGGATGCAGCCAATGACCTGGGTGACGGCGGGTTCGAGTCCGAGGAGGAGGAGTTGCAGACACGGGCAACTGAGGTGGTGCGGGCCGAGACAGTGGCTGGCACGTTTGTAGTTTCGATTGTGGGGCGCTCCCGCACTCGGACGCTTCACCGCGTCGGGGAATGCCATAGGCAACCCGGAGTACATTACGCCCAGTTTGAGATCCTGGGAGATGAACCTCCCGATGCAAGTACATATCACAGGGCATGCAAGAACTGCTTCGGTAAAGATGCCACCGCTGCAGAAGGTTCCCCGGAAGAAGAGAGTTCTGGGGAAGTGACCTCGTCAGATTCGATGGAATCGGAGGTGGAGCCATCGGCGTGAGGCGGATGGGAGCTCATGCTGAAAATGGGACCTTACTGCACTGTGGGGGAAAGGTGTGTGGCAGGGGTTGAGAGAGTGCTGCACACTTGTGAGAGAGAGAGAGTAAGTAAGTATTCTGAGAAGGTACGATGGGGCCGAAACCGGTTCTCGTTCGCTCGACCCTTGCTGTTGTGTGTTGATTGAACGCCGTAGGGATCGGCCGATCATGTTTGCTTGTGAAAGCCCTGTCAGGCATGTGCGTACTTGATGGGGCTCCAAAGCAAGGGGGCGCGCGCAAGTGGGCGCGGCCGCGGACTCGCGGGGGGGCCGGCACCGAGCCCTCGCGAGAGCACATGGCAGGGGCAGCAGCACCTCCGGACATCGGGCATGATACGCCTGTCAGGAGAGCCAATGCCGTAGCCTTGCTCGATGCGGACCTGCACGGCCTCTTGCAGATCAAAGAGGTGAACGAGGTCATCCAAGCGAAGCTGGCCATTGCACGAGTCCGGACTATCAGCAGGTTGAGCACTGTGGCAGATGACCGTGCTGGCATGAGGAGGTTCTGCGTGGATTCGCTGGGCTTGGATGAGGCACGAGACGTCATAGACATTGCATCAATGGTCGATGCCTGGGAGTCCTCATCCACCAGGATGTCGGTGAGGCACAAGGCCGAGGCAGAGGCTGGTTTGGCCAGCCAACCAAGAGCACTGAACAAAGTGGAGATTCAGGATCTGCTCACGAAGTTCCAGTCGGTGCATGGCTTGAAGTTGGAAGACAAGAACATCCCTGCGGCATCGACTTTGGAGCAGATATTCGATCAGGTTGAACAGGGAGAGCTCAAGAATATGAGCCTGGTCCAATTCGTGAGCCGGGAGGATGCAGAAGCAGATGTGCTTGGGGCGACCATCGAGAAGGGCACCGGCGCCTTGAAGGTGAAGAAGGGATACGGGGAGTGCCCCAAGCCCCGTAGCCCAGAAGAGTTCCGACGGTGCATGGCCGTGGTGTCGCATGCTTACCTCCTGGCTCAGCTGAAGTTCCCACAAAAGGCTATATTGCGGGATTTGCAGCCGGTTCACTTCCTGAAATACCTCGATCTGATGCTTGGAGAGCATGTGCTTGGCTTGAAGGCAAAGAACCAAGCGGGTGAAACGGTGGCATCCCCTGAGTTTGACCTGATGCTCTCCTATGACTTCCAGGTGAGGCGCAACATGGTGAAGCTGGCGAATGAAGGCCGCCTACTACACGAGGCACTGAAGGAATCCATGGCTGACACCACTATAAAGGAGCGGTACTTCCTCACCCCGAATGTCTACTCACAGGTAGCGTTGGGTCATGGCCGCTCCGATTCCTGGAGGTCCCGAAGTCCACCAGTCGACCGAAGCTGGAATGCTGAGCGAGGCCGAGACTGGGACAAAGGCAAGGGCAAGTCTCGGAAAGGAGGCGGCAAGGGCAAGGGCAAGAAAGGGGGAAAGCAGCTTCATGATCGAACCCCTGACGGGCGGCAAATCTGCTGGCGCTGGAACAACCCACGTGAACGATGCCGCTTCAACTGCGGAAGGCTTCATGTATGCCAGGCTTGCTTTGGTTCACACCCGGTGCATGCTTGCGACAACAGTGGCAAGCCGAAGGACACAGCAGGAGCCCCCGAGGGGGGCGGGAAGGCAGCCTGACGGAGTCAAGGGGTGGGCCAAGCCCCAGGCCCACCTGAAGTTGAGGGCACAACGAGGGGCACACGCGTGCAGCACACCTTGCACGTGCTGTACTTGTTCAGTGGTACACAGAGGAAGTCATCAGTCACCTCTGTCCTGCAAGAACTATGCCACCAGAAGGGTATCCAATGTGTGGTGCATGACATTGACATCCAGAACTCGCCAGAGTGGGACTTGGCAAAGGGCAGCGTGCAGCAAAGCTTGCTACAACGCATCAAGGCTGGAGAGTTTGACGTAGTGCTCATCACACCTCCCTGCTCTACGTGGTCTCGAGTCAGGGGAGCCAATTGCAGAGG